AAACCCCCCAGACTCCCCCCAAACCCCCCAGAATCCCCCCAAACCCCCCAGACTCCCCCCAAACCCCCCAGACTCCCCCCAAACGCCATTTCCCGCAGGCCGGGGGAGCAGAGCTGCTGCGTGCGGCCGCTGTACATCGACTTCCGCCGGGACCTGCAGTGGAAGTGGATCCACGAGCCCCGCGGCTACATGGCCAACTTCTGCGGGGGTCCCTGCCCCTACATCTGGAGCGCCGACACGCACCACAGCACGGTGGGCGGGGGTCCCGGGGGGTCCCGGGGGGGTCCGGGATCCTCTGTCCAGGGCTGAACTCGGGTGGGGACCCCCAGCACAGGCAGGGGGGTCTGGGGAACTTGGGATTTGGGGAGGGGTCTCAGGGTCACTTTGGGATTTGGGTGTATTTTGGGTATATTTGGGTGTATTTGGGAATATTTTGGTGTATTTTGGGTGTATTTGGGTGTGTTTGACAGCACCTTTCAGGGCCATTCTGGGCTGATGCTGCTGTGGTGTTTCAAGCCAATTTGGGGCCGATTTGCTCTGATTTGCTCGGATGTGTGCCAATGTGTGCCGATGTGTGCCAATCTGTGCCGATCTGTGCCCATCTGTGCCCATCTGTGCCGATCTGTGCCGGTCTGTGCCGATCTGTGCTGTGCCGGTCTGTGCTGTGCTGATCTGTGCCGGTCTGTGCCGATGTGTGCCGATCTGTGCCGATCTGTGCCGATCTGTGCCGATCTGTGCCGATCTGTGCCGATCTGTGCCGATCTGTGCCGATCTGTGCCGATCTGTGCCGATCTGTGCCGATCTGTGCCGATCTGTGCCGATCTGTGCCGATCTGTGCCGATCTGTGCCGATCTGTGCCGATCTGTGCCGATCTGTGCCGATCTGTGCCGATCTGTGCCGATCTGTGCCGATCTGTGCCGATCTGTGCCGATCTGTGCCGATCTGTGCCGATCTGTGCCGATCTGTGCCGGTCTGTGCCGATCTGTGCTGTGCCGGTCTGTGCTGTGCTGATCTGTGCCGGTCTGTGCCGATGTGTGCCGATCTGTGCCGATCTGTGCCGGTCTGTGCCGATCTGTGCTGTGCCGGTCTGTGCTGTGCTGATCTGTGCCGGTCTGTGCCGATGTGTGCCGATCTGTGCCGATCTGTGCCGATCTGTGCCGATCTGTGCCGATCTGTGCCGATCTGTGCCGATCTGTGCCGATCTGTGCCGATCTGTGCCGATCTGTGCCGATCTGTGCCGATCTGTGCCGATCTGTGCCGATCTGTGCCGATCTGTGCCGATCTGTGCCGATCTGTGCCGATCTGTGCCGATCTGTGCCGATCTGTGCCGATCTGTGCCGATCTGTGCCGATCTGTGCCGATCTGTGCCGATCTGTGCCGATCTGTGCCGATCTGCTCTGACGCGTGCCGACGCGCGTGTCCCGGCAGGTGCTGGCGCTCTACAACCTGCACAACCCCGGCGGCTCGGCGGCGCCGTGCTGCGTCCCGCAGAGCCTGGAGCCGCTGCCCATCGTTTACTACGTGGGGCGCAAGGCACGCGTGGAGCAGCTCTCGGGGATGGTGGTCAGCGCCTGCACCTGCAGCTGACCCCAAAACCCCCAGTTCTCGCCCCAAAATCCCCCCGGGACCGCCAAAAAACGTTATTTAATTTCCGCTGCCTCCTGTGGGGTTTTCTTGTGATTCTGAACGAGGCGCCCCCCAAAAATCTGGAGTGGAAAGGCGAAAATCTTCCCCAAAAATCGCCACGAAAAGCAGAAAATTTGGGGATCCTGAGAAATTGGGGGTGGGTGGGTCCAGGAATTCTGAGGGGAAAAGATTTGGGAAGGAGAATTTTGGAGGAGTCCCGGAAATTTGGGGGATTCCGGGAATTCTGGGCTTCCCCAAAAACTCCGATTTTCCCCTAAAATCTCCCTCCAAAAAAGAAAGCAGAAAAATCCCAATTTCCCCCCAAACCCCCAGGCCTGGAGGACATTCCTTGGGGCGGGGGGATCCCGTTTATTTCTGGGAATTTTGGGATGGAATTTTGGGAATTCTGGGGGTCCCTAGTCCAGCTGGGGGGCCTCGCTGGGCTCCTCCTCATCGAAATATCGATCCTCCAAATCCCGGGAAACGATGTCCAGGTTGTCCAGATCCGGGTTCTCGTCCACCTGGCTGAGAAATTCGGGAATTTCCAGGAATTTTCCAGAATTTTGGGGAAATTTTTTTGGTTTTTCAGGCATTTTTCTAAAATTTTTGTGATTTTTTTTTTTTTTTTTTTATGGTTTTCCAAAGTGTTTTCGGGAATTTTTTAGGGTTCGGGGAGGTTTTGAGTGAAGGGATGAGAATTCAGGAATTTTTAGGAATTTTCTTGGAATTTCTTGGGAATTTTTGGGCTGCTTTAAAGCGATTTTTAAAATTTTAATAGTTTTTGGTTGATTTTGGGGTCCTTGATGTGAATTTAAGAAAGTTCCGGAGAATTTTGATGGAAGATCTGGGAATTTTGGGTGAATTTTTGGGAACTTGAAGCTTTTTTTTGTATTTTCAGTGTTTTTTAAGGCATTAAAGAGGATTTTGGGGGGAATTTTTGTTCTTTTTGAGAGATATTTTGGGGGGACTTTTTGAAGGATTTCTGATTTTTTAAATTTTTTGGCTGAATTTTGGCTATTTCTGCGCTTTTTTGAGGGATTTTTGAGATTTTTTTTTTCACCCTGGGACATTTTGGGGTGATTTTGTCGGATTTTGGGGATTTTTGAGGCTTTCTGGGCTCACCTGTAGTCGAAATCCCCGTCCTGGCCCTCCAGGAAGCTCTGGTACATCCGGGTGGTGAATTCCAGGCGCAGCAATTCCTGCTCGGCCGCGTCCGGGATCCGCTCCTCACCCTCCTCCTCCTCCTCCTCCTCCCCCTCCTCCTCC